TGCATCAACACGACTGCTGTTCCTGAAACCACGCCTTCTTTCTTTGCGTGCACATTTGGGCGGCATTAGCAAATATTTCCACATAGTGATATAGAGATGTGGGGGCGTGTTTGAATGAGGCGTTTTAGCCCGGTCTGGATCAGCCTTCTCTTTTAGATAGAATAAATCTTTTTGTGGGAGACTTTGAGCTTTGTAACATTTTGTGCATGTATAAAACAGATTTTATACATGCACAAACAGCTACATAACATACTAAAGAAAAGGAAAAATAGAAATCGCATCATATGACCCCTTTAAACCTCATGTGGTGTTCGGGTCCTTTTTGCTCTGAAAAAATTTTATTTTTCCCGAAAATACTAGTTAACGTTATCGCATTGGACTGAAATTTTGTGCCTTTGTTCACAAAGGGTATAACTACTTCCAAAACATTTTTTGATAATTTTCATACTTTTCTGGGGGAGATTTTTCACCTTGTTACACTTGTGATGTTCCAGGGCAAAAATGACCCGGCCTCAATAAAAGGCTTGTAAATCACTCATTATACTATATTATCAACAAAGATTGGATTCAATCTTTTTGTCAACTTCTTATCTTTCATTTAGGACTGGTTTTGTATTTATATTTGCTTCTGATTAATCGTAGGCCTCATTTATCTGAGAGTAGGCACCTCATTTTTTGAGTGAAAAAAGCATTATTTATGAATAATTTTCACAATATTAAATAAAAACTGAAGAAAATTTGCACTGTTTATCACACTAGTGTACTTTAATGTTTAATCAGGGAGTTTGTTTTGAAAGGCTTTTATTTTGTACAAAATGGCACAAAGTCACACTTGTGGTGTTCCCGGTCAAAAATGTCCAGCCATTCAAAGTGAATGGGAAAGAATGAAAGTAATAGAAACTATTAGTGTTCAGGAGCATGTTGATCATGTTCACGTTCACATATGTACGTGTGCTTACAAACATAAAGGCCTTGGACCTGTTCATGTTTGGATGCATGCATACTCACGCTAACACACACACACACACACACACACAC